GCATGTAAGAGAAAAAGAAGTCCAACTAGATCCTATCTCCAGCGTTGGGTGTCAAGTCATGGATATTAGACCAATGGGAGGTATGCTCTGCATTTAAAACATCAGGAAGTCGCCTATCTTCACGCCTTTTTAGCCGTAGGGAACAACTTCAACGTGATCTCCTTGCGACGAAGTCTTCGAAGACGAACATGAGACACCTGAGTATTGGCACATTCATTATGTGCTTTACAGCTGTTAATTTGCATAAGATCCTAAATCACCTTATTCATTTGAATCCGTCTCTTCATCAGCTGATCATCACTATCATCGACCGCTATCCTCCAACATTAACAGTTAATAAATGGAAACTATCTTACGAGGATCGCTGTGAACTCAGCGCGAAAGTCGAGAACTTAAAAAAGAAAAGTGAAATATCGGCGTCAAAGTTAGAGCTCTGAAAATGGCGATCGTTATACTGAATTCTTATCCGCCGCTAAATTTTATCATGGATGCCTCACCTTCATGAAGAAAGAGCATTGGTGTCTACATGTCTTTTACACGACGTTGTTCTCCTTTTTAGGATGATCACGGAAATGGAGACAGTGTTCAAATAATGGGCGAACTAGTGAAAACGATCAAAAGAAGACCGAAGTGAGAAGCCTTCTGTGAGGCTAGGAAATGGAGTTGGAAGGCTTTATAATCTTGTAGATGTCTTCCTACGTATACGTATATCTCGGGCCCCAGTAAAATGGGAAACGATCTGAATAGGACTACATGAAAGCCGAAAAGCACCTTTGCTTTTGGACCTTAAAGGAATTCGCGGACTCAAAACTCTCAGTCTACTGCATGATTCGCCCGTTCTTCCAGTGCTCTGTTATGCGACAGAGACGTGACCTGATTCTGTGCTGTTTCAAAGGCTTTCCGAACCCACAGACGCCAAAATAAGTTTTGAAGTTCAACCGACGCATCCAACAGCTCGTTGGAATCCGCAGTCATTTGCGAGTTCTCTGCTTATATGAACTTGCACCATCGTGCTCAAAATGGAGACTATTGTGAAGACTACCCTGAGAAGACTTGCTGTCTACTATTAGCAAACCCTTTTATTTCTAATAAACCTGTTTCTTTATTATATAAACCTTTTATTCGTATTTTGACTCATTGCAACGCATTAAGTTATGATACATAGGCATTGTTACTAACACTGCGATAGCTACGATGGAATTAACAGAGAATGCATTGCTGCACTAGCGCGAAAACCATAAGCACTTAGTGCAGCAATCACATCCGTGCCGCGTAAAATGAGCGTTGCTGTCACAACCGTGCAAAGAATAATAGTACTATTGCGTTAGCTGCAACCGTACTAAATGAGTGCTTCACAAAATTGCAGCAGAGGCGAATGGTGCTGTTGTCCTGCAACGGCACTAAACGAGTACTGCACAACTACATATGAAGAATATGAGCGCCTGCGAGAACTACAAAGGCACCGATGGATTAGCAAATTCGACAGACATAACTTTAGACAAGGAGAATACGGGAGC